GCTGACTAAATGTAATAATTTCTTTTAAAGACAAAATTTGACTGACCCCAAATTAGTGAACAGTAGTGTATGAAGCATGAGGTCTCTGTTCTCTCCAGGCTTCCAGGATCTCTCTCTGCACGATCAGGTTCAGTTGTTGGAGAGCTCTTGGCTGGAGGTGTTGATGATCGGCCTCATATGGAGGTCTATTCATTCACCTGGAAAACTCATCTTTGCTCAGGATCTCATCCTGGATAGGTACTGGATGTTCTGCACCTCCTCTTGTAGGCCACTGTAAAATAAGTATTTCCACTTTTTTTGTATACATCCATATTGGAACAACTAATTTAGTGAGGCTATAATAAAACTCGAATCCAATTTAATGACTCACTCTCACTGTTACCATCACATATATTCATCTAGTCAGACATGGAAAAGTGTGCAACCACGCTTTGAGAAGCTTTGAAAACACATTAAATTGTTTTGATTACATTCAGCCTCGCTTGACTGTTAGGAATAATGGAAAAGCACTAACATGCCGTGACAGAAACCTGCGGGGACACCTGTTATACTCTAATGAAACTCCCGACTTTATTTTAGTCTCAGGCAATCTTACTTGATACTGATGCTGTGAGGGTGATTGTGGGCTTTTCGAGATGTCATACTGACCTGATGCATTCCCTCTGCATGTGCTTATTTTTTTGCCTCAATTTCATAAAGAACATTGAGTTGCATGTGGTTTTGTCACCTTGCAGACGGGATCTGCCCCAGCAGAGGGCCGTGCCTAATAAAATTAGATTGAATGATTATGAAACGAAAACTAGATTGTTAAAAAGGATGTGAACTGTTTATCTGAGTGCCTAGTGCTCCTCTTCAGAAGACCATGTCGATGTCACAAGTAGATAGTAATTAGGACCCGGTTGGGAACAGGCTCTTTAAAGGGCTTCTGAAGAACAGCGTCATCACTGACTAAAGGCAATACGAATCTAATCAAAACCAGCATCCGTAAAAAGTAAAGAGTCGTGAGCTTGGTGGTTTAATAAAGCATTCTGGAGGACGAAGGAGAAAGGGTGAGTAAAAATTTGGATGGGACTGAAAAGATAATATGGCTGAATCAGACAAAGCAAGGACGCCGCTAAGATAGGATAAGAACTGATGAAAGACAAATGAGAGTTTACAGAGTCCATTGGAGGTCCAGTCTTTAAGTAAACAGTAAACAGCATATGCAATGTTTACAGCTTCACTAGAGGAGGTGGGGGAAAAACAGAGCTATTTTAAGGCACATATGACAGTAAATGGTACAAACAATCTCCCAGCATGGATAAAGTGCAGGTCTACCTCTTTACAGGAATGAAGGAGAATGTGTCGAGGGGATGGCTGAGATTTTCGACATGCTCTTGGCGACTGTGGCTCGCTTCCGTAGTCTCAAACTCAAGCTGGAGGAATTCGTATGTCTCAAAGCCATCATACTTCTCAATTCTGGTGAGTCTGCAAGTCAGAGAGTGAATGAACGTGGCGATTTGAGTACTTTGGAAATAAAATACACTTTGGAGCTTCCCGTGGTATATATTATATTATTAAATGCTCCCTGGAATAATTAATTCCATTACACATGGCCTCATGTTCTGAATACTGTTAAAACATCTTTCTTTCATCTTAGAAATATCGCCAGATTAAGTCCAATGTTGTCTTCCTCTGTTGCTGAGAAGTTGATTAACACCTTTGTTTTCTCTCGAATTGACTATTGCAATGCTCTGTTGGCTGGGGTATCAAAAGCTACCCTAAACAAATTACAGGTCATGCAAAACTCTGCTGCCAGAATCCTAACTAAAACAAAGATAAGGGATCATGTCACTCCTATCTTGGAGTCTTTGTATTGGCTTCCTGTTAGGATTAGGGTTGATTTTAAAATTCCGATGCTCAGTTACAAGCAGGGGACATATATGTCGCACGTGCTACGAAAAAACTGGTCTGTGCGATGAATAAATTTACCACTGTAGCACGTGTGCGATACAGTTTTGCATGTTAACACAGCCGCTTAATAGTGTGAAGTGATTTCTTGTGCTTGTTTGTGTGTGTGAGATTGATTATACTTGGTAGTTAGGGGTGTGCGATATCAAGGCGGAACCTTCGTTCTTCTGATACTGGATTGTTAATAATTGTTCCGTGTACATGCCTAAGATCGATGGGGGATAGGGCTTTTTCTTCTCTAGCTCCAAAACTATGGAATTCTCTTCCTACTGAAATAAGGCAGGCAAATTCTCTTAACATTTTTAAATCTCGCCTTAAAACTTATTTCTTTAGGGTAGCTTTTACTTACATTTTTATATATATTTTATATTGTTTTTATTTCTAATGTGGTTTAAATGTGTTTTTTGCTTATTTTTATACATTCTTATATGGTGTATTTTGATGTTTTATTTGTTATGTTAAGCGCTTAGTAACATTTAAAGGCGCTATAGAAAAATAAAGATTATTATTATTATTATTTGATTCTGACTGGTCAGTCATGTAGGATCCAATCCACCCACACAATCCCATCAACCTTCAATATGTGATCAAAAAACTTAGCAGAGCTATGCTAAGCCAGTAGAATACACTGTAAAAAACACACAAAACGGTAATTCATTTTTTAGCTTTTTGTTGTATGTAATTAAAACATTTAATGAACAATTAGACAGTATTTACCACAAAATAAACCACTTCAGAATTACACTTCCGTTCAAAAGCTTGGGGTCTGTATGATTTTTTAAAAATGTTTTTGAAAGAAGTCTCTTATGCAAAACAAAACAGCATTTATTTGAAATAGAAATCTTTCGTATCATTAGAAGTGTCTTTAACCCTCTACCGCACGCATTATGATAGACCTATAGAAATTAAAATTTTTTTTCTTTTTTCTGAGAATGGCTTAACTTGAAGTGCTGTAAAACAAAAATTGGAAAAACAATATTATTTTAAGGTACTTTGTGATATGTTGCCATACAGCAACAGCATACAATAGTGGATCTAACTTAGAATAAGTGTAAGCTTACTTAGTTAATATCATGTCCTAGGTGTAACAACCCTAAACATGTCTTAGGTGTCAGTTAATGTGTAACGCTTTAATGGTTATTGCTTATCTTTTCTGTCTGGTCAGGTGCATTTTCATTCTGCTCCAGTCCAGTGGAGCCCTTGAGGGACAGCTTCATGGTGCAGTGCATGCTGGACAACATCACTGATGCCCTCATTTACGGCATCAGTAAATCGAGTGCCTCGCTGCAGCTGCAGTCCCGCCGTCAGGCCCAGCTCCTGCTGCTGCTCTCAAACATCAGACACATGAGGTAAAGAGCAAATAAGATGATTAACACAAACATCATTTCATACACACTACCATTCAAAACAAAAAGACTGCTTATATTACAGTCATGCACATTATATCTGCTTTGTTTTTTTTGAAAGCAACAGAGGAATGGAGCACTTATACCGAATGAAATGTAAGAATCGAGTCCCGCTGTATGACCTTTTGTTGGAGATGCTAGACGCCCAGCGATTCCATTCTTCAGGAAAGGTGCAGCAACTGTGGGCACAGAGTGAGAAAGACCCCCCATCTACACTCACAACCAGCAGCAGCAGCAGCAGCCTCTCCAGAGGTCCTGGAGCCATGCTGCCCAACACTGCCTTTCACAACCAGAGTCCAGACCCCTGAGCTGTGTACAATCCAACAACAGAAGAATGTGAAGACTGAAGCAGTCAGTGCTGTCTCTCCTTGTGCCTTATCAAAGTCCACTTTAGATTCTGAAAGACCCATCTAGAAAAATGTAAAAACATATCTGTAGAAATGGACAGGTTAAGAGCAAGGCTCCCAAACACTAAACATCTGTGGTCACTTATGGAAAGACATTTTTAAAAAGTGTCATACTTGTAAAAAAAAAAAAAGAAGGGCTCTTGGGCCTTTGTGGCACGCTGAGAGACAGATTTATGTAGAAGCTGCTAATTCTTGTTCTTCTTCTTTTCTTTTAATGACCAATGGAGTGACAGCTTTGACGTCACAAACTTACTTAAGCTAAACAAACAAACCAAAAAATTAAAAGAAAAAGAAAAAAACAATCTAGAGCAGGTGGCTTGTGAAGTACTGTACATCATAAAGTAGCATTTCTGACTGACAGCACAGATTTGACAGTGGAATGTCAATATAACGTCACCTGTTTTTAGTACAGTAACTTAATAATCCTTGGTAGCTAAAGTTTAAGCTTTAGTTACCAAGGATTATTAAGTTACTGTAGTGGTATGTTACCTTAAATGCAGAAGAACCGAAGAACTTCATATTGCAGCATCCGTGTTACACATTTTTCATGTTACTATTATTATATGCATTATAGCAATAACAATAAGTATGTATAATTACAAGCAGCGCTTAATATAAAAAAACTGAATAGAAAATACTTAATATAAAACAAACTGAAAACAGGAGAAAAGTTACTCTTGGAAAAAAACAAGAAAAAAATAAAATGATGCGATATATTCTCGCAATCAGAGATGTATTTATCAATAAAAATCACTGCTCTATTTTTAATATGTTAAAGAAGTAATTTTAGCTCGCATGGGGGGAACTGCTCAGTGATTAGTGGTGACATTAGTGGCATCTTTTTGTGCAAAGATGTTTGCTTATTCGTTGGTTAATATGACAAAAATGTTACATCCTATTTTTGCTGTGTTAAAGTGCTGTAATTGGTTTTATGGCCATGTTAATTGACATGTAAATGCTGATTTTTATAAGCATTGTGACAGCTTGAAATGATAACGGCCTATAATCACTGGTACGCATTCAATGCAGGAACTGACACTGACTGCCTTACACTAGACTGCCATATTTTTCCTCAAATCTGTGAATGTGTATGCTCATAGTCCAGTAGACTTGTACATTACATTTATCAGCTATTACATTTGATACTTGAATGTTATGATTTGTACAGTATGTTTTAATTTAGAAAGGCCCTAAATGTGAAAATGTTAATTTGGCTGAATTAATTATAAAGGAAAGAGTAAAAAAAAAGCAGCATGAACTGTACAGGAACAGGAACAATCAGCTTTGGCTAACACTAGTCCATTCTGTGTCCTGCAGTGTAATATGAAGCAGATGAAGGCATTAGTAAAGTCTCCTCCGCTCATACAGGCGGTGGGCCGTTGGTGTAGCGGAGCATGGGATGAAAAGACCGGGCAAAATTGTTCGCGTTTGCACAACTGTAATCCTGCTCAGTCATGGGCACCAGACAGGTCAGGCCCACTATGAGCAGCAGTAGGAGCTGCAGTGGCAGAGCCACCCGGAGCACTCGCAGCAGAAAGGGCTGGCAGCGAGCCACAGCAGCGCCACCTTGTGACCCGGAGGAACCAGAGCGAGACGAAACGCAGCCAGAACCGCTGGGCAACCTACAAAACATCAGAATAATACATCAGAATGTACGGATAGATTATAATGACACACAGAAATGTTGTGAGTAGCACAGCACTTCTACTATTCAGTTCATGTGAGGGTGATTCGTTTAAAAAAAAGTATCCTTTTAAATCAGCGCTGTTATTGTTAACAAACTACAACTAAAACTATTCAAAACTGTTGTTGTGAAATAAAAGTAAGAAAATTAGAAATGTTGCTTTGGCAACTAACTAAAATAAGTAAGTTAATGTACTAAAATAACTAAAGTTAAATCTGAAATAAAAATTAAAGCTATGTAGAAATAATGACAAAAACAGACAATAAAAATATCAACTAAAATATAAAAGTAAATGGTAATCCAAAATATATAATATAATATAATATAATATAATATTGGACTTTTCTCAACCCAAGGACACTTGCACTGACAACTCAATTCCCATCCATCTTAAAGCAAATCGTTTTTATCATCTGTCACTGTTTTGGTATTTGCATATATTGATAAAATTAGTCACTCACTGACAGATGTCCATGTTTTATGGACAAACTGCACACATTAAATATTTTGTTTTGAAATATTTCACTTTCATCAAAGACAGTTCCATATTTTGTAATACTTCATAATATATTTCATTAAGAAGTCACAACAAACATGATATAATGCTTAACAAATCAGCAGTTCATGTGCATCTAAATATGAATATATGAAGTTTCACAGCATTCTATCTATTTAATATAAATTGAAAAATACTTCGTTAAGCATTACATACATGTTATGCTTGTTAATGTTGTTAATGAAAGGTATTAGAAAGTTTTACACAATATGGCTGCTTTTCTGAATTTTTGCTGTAAGGCAGAGATGAGTGTGAGAGCATCACAATGAATTGTTTGCACAACAAAATAAAACAATGAAAGCAACCAAAAATTACATGGTCTGGAAAATGACGAATAAATTTCAGTATTTTCACATGGCATCAAGAATGGAGAAAGATTTTGAAGATAGTTCACTTCAAAAGGACACAAAGTTACATTGTCAGACTCAATATTATGTTCTTGGGGAAAATAACACATAAGATTACTAAGAATCCTTGACTGGGATCCAAAACAAATTCATTTCCTAGAACTGAACAACTCGTGTGGACTCCCACCGCAGAGGCTCTGGCCTCTGATCTGAATGCTTCTGATGGTATGGATCTGGAATGAGTTCCATCATCCCCGCCTGCATTCTAAAGCGCGAGAGACAGGTACCTGTGACGTGGAAGTCTGGCTGTGGATCCTGGTTCTGACACACTACATTTGCCTCGTAGCTGTTGTGCAATGAGCAAAAGGAAGGGAGGGGTAAAAGAAAGAAAGAATGTTTCAGTCCAGCAAATAAAGACAAAGCTTGTGGTGACAAGCAGAGACATATAGCCAGGCCATCAGTATAATCACAAACCAGTAACAACAAAACAAAAGGCAGCAGCAAAATAGGTGGCAATGACAAAAAAAAATCTTGCAAGGTGCAAGAAACCTGGCTTTCCACACAGACACCTTCAAACAAATCCACTAAAATTTAGCATGGATCCATTTGATTTAAAGCATGTCTGAAAAGTAAAGCCAGTGTTTCTTGTATAAATTTCATAAGTAAAGTACTTCCAGAAATAAACGTCCAAACTAACATTTATAGGGGGATGAGGAAGTGAGCAAATATTCCAGGGGATTTTGTCAGTGAGGAATATTAAACTGGAACCAACATTTCACAAAATATTCCCCTGTTATAAGCTCAACCGCCTCACTTTAGCAGGACAGTGACCTTCACGGCATGCCCGAAACAATATCAAAAAAGGAAGAGGGGATGCATTACCGATTGTCGTTTAGTGGAAACGCTGACCTCTGAAACAGGACTGACCGATCCAGAAGTATCTGCGTCATCCGTAACAGACCAGAGGGACGCGTCCTGTGAAGATCTGAGATTTAGCTTTGAGATGAATGGATATTATGGACAGTGTCTAATGTTGCTTTTTTTATCTGTTAAAACCGAACAAATGGTCGGTAAAGAGATGAATCACTAATGAATGTGCTTGTAGACTGACCTGTCCGTTTCCAGAAGCCTGGAGCTCTTTTTCTAACAGTTCCAGGTCGGTGGCCACAGCTTTCAGGAGCAGGCGCAGACGGTTCCCGATGACGTGCACCCTCTCCTGGGCCTCCAGACACTCGCTGCCATGTGCCTGCACCAGCAGCTGTCCTGAGAGCTCCTGCAGACTGTCCACCTTCTGCTCAGTTTCCAACAGCTCCCGCTGGATTTGCTGCAGACAAATGTGTGTCAATGTAGTTTCACTTGGTAAAATGAAACATTTGTGTTTCGAATACATTTTTGCCACATTTGGAGAATTTTAAGAACATTTTGACAATGGATGGACTCAAATTTCCTTAATGGAATGCTGGGTTAAAGTACAGTAGATGGCAAGAAAAGCAAGTGAACACTCTTCTAGGTAACTTGACTCAAATGAAGACAAATTTTCCCATCCAGACACCTTTTTACATACTGTTTTCAACATACAATGATGCTGGTTGCTCTATTCTTCATCTCTTATTCTGCATACAGTGTAGGGTGAGCAGGAGGCAAAATATGTATTCAAGCCATATTCTTCCATACCAAAAAGCAGTGACTTCACAGGTACCTTTAGTGCTCTGTAATGAGCTTGAAGTGTATGCCGATCTAGCCCCGATGCAATTGGGATAATCTCATTTCTCCGACGGTCGATGTTTTCCAGCCAGAGAAGAAGACCATGACTCAGCTCATGAAACTCCTGTAGAAAAGCAAAAATTGTGAGAGAATGACAGTATCTGCCTCTGTGCGTTTAATTTAATTACAATACCATTCAAAAGTTTGGAATTGGTAAGATTTTTTTTCATGTTTTTTTAAAGAAGTCTCAAGTATTTACTTGATAAAAATATTTTAAACATTATTACAATTTAAAATAACGGTTTTCTATTAGAATATATTGTAAAAGGGAATTTACTCCTGTGATGGCAAAGCTGAATTTTCAGCAGCCATTACTCAAGTCTTGAGGTCACATGATCCTTCGAAATCTTTCTAATATGCTGATTTGGTGCTCAAGACATTTCTTGTTATCATCAATGCTGAAAACTGTTTTGCTGCTTACTACTTTTATGGAAACATTGATGCTTTTTTCCAGGATCCTTTAATGAATATAACGTTTAAAAAACAGCATTTATTTAAAATAGATGTTTGTTGTAACATTACAGATGTCTTTACTGTCACTTTTGATCAATACAATGCATCCTTGCAGAATAAAAGTATTAACTGTCAAAAAAAAAAAAAACATCTTCCAAACTTTTGAACAGTAGTGTAGATGTAGGTGCTGTCTGTGTATGTACCTGACACTGCATCAGAGCATCCTGAAGTGCTGTTCTCCAATCCTTAAGTGATTTTCCCAGTCGATCCCAGCGTGAGTTCATCTCCTTCAGTTTCGTTTTCAGATCCTGGCTCTCCTCAGAGTCTGACTGGAGTAGTGTGACACTATTTAAGTTGATGGACAGTAATTTGGATTTATGGGAATCCATTGCCTTCTGTAACTCCTGTTGAGACACAAGAGCAAAGCTTTTGTTAGAAATTTGTGTGTTGGTTTTAGAGACTACATTGTGTTACCAAGAAATGATGTGTAGTTAGGTGCAAATCTCATTTTGATTAATCTCTCTTGTTAAATTGCTCTGAAGGGAAGGTTCACTTGCAGGATTTGGACTATATACACACGTGTTTTAGTTTGTGTGCAAGTAAAAATAACTGGTGAAATCAGATGCTCTCAGATTCTCTGTATGTGGGTCAGCAGGATGCTGTGGATTTCCTCTGGTTTATTTCTGTTGCTGACATCCTGCCCAATTTGAAATGTGTGTGTGTGTGTGAGCAAGACTTGTTTGACACCTGAAATATGACAATTACCATAATAGCATCAAATTCAAATATACACGTTACTCAGCAGTTGCAGCGTTTCCGTGCTGGACTAACCTGTGCTCTGTGTCTCTGTGTTATCAGGGTTACTCAGGCCTGACAGGTTGTCCTCTTCCTCCTCCAGCTCCCCCTCAACCCTCCTGACCGCTTTCAGACTGCCACGGCAATCATTCATTAGCCTCATCTGTGCAGAGCAAAGAAGCTAATCAAACTTACTGCCACTAGAGACTAAACTGACTGAGCGCCACACTGAATTTGTACTCACATAGCCCATGTAAGAGGTGTCGTGGCCACCCATAGTGCCATCTGTCTCCTGGAGGCTGTAGCAGCTGGTGTCCATCATATTGTCTAATAATCGAACTGCTTCACCTGCAGGAATTAATGTAAAAATTAACGTGGGATGTCACATGACTGCCTTTAAAATAAGGATCATTCTGAAATACTGTCATTCTTTAATCACATTGTGAGTGTATAAGGAGTTTTGTAAAGCTTTAAAACATGTTAAGATTTAATCACGTTATTCGCTGAAAATGGAATGTGAACATTATACATCATTTGTTTTATATGCAACATATTTTCAGTTATAACTGAATTATAAAATATCAAAAGTATCAATGTCAGTGTTGACTGTTACATGTTGGAATGAAAAGGCCAGGGGTCGGCAACCATTTAGGCATTTTTTTATTTTTCTGGTTAACCACTGCCAATTAACATTTCTGTCGTAAAACAGTTGACTAATATTAATTCATTTGCAGCTTCATCTTACCTTGCTCTTTCAACGTTAAACTGACGCTTTGCGCTCTGCTTCTGTGAACAGTAAACCCCGCCTACTTTGATTTGATTGACCATCTCAGTCATTTTGACATTGACAGTGAGAACGTTTACATGGACAACATTAATCCGATTTTAACACGATTAAGACAATATTCTGATTAAGAATCTACCATGTGAACAGAGATTTTTGATTACCTTAATCCGGCTAAAGTCATATTCGAAGTAAACAGAAATCGAATTAAGACATGTGGAGTATTCCTATTTTAGTCGCATTACTGAAGTGCAGTATAGACATGTAAACAGTTAGACCCCGCTGAGGCTTTGATCAGAAGCACCTAGTTAATCTACGTATCTCTCAAATGGACCATTGACACTATCTACAATCTCAATTAGGAGTGTCAATGGTCCATTTGAGAGATAGGTGGCGGTAATGCACTTATAAGTCTGCGATCCGCCGTACAGCAAGAAGAAGAAGACGCGTCACCCGCCGGCTGTCGAGGAGGCGCTCAGGACAATCTCACATGAACTATTTCCACTGGACTACACTTGGAATCTCTTGTTTTTCTCATCAAATTCTAAACTCAGTTCTCTTTTGGTTTATTTTCATGGAGGTGCTTTAAAAGTGTATTTTTTCTATTAATTTTTTCTCATCTAATGCCGATTAGTATTGTTTGATTTGAAAAAGATTTTAAAGTTGGAAAACGCAATAGACCAGATCTGTCAGAATTTTTGCCATGCATTTTTTAGAATTCATGCAATAGTGCAGTACATGCAACACGATAGCATGCAGTGTAGTTTAGCATTAATTTAGCATGCCATAACTTATTGCCTACCAGAGGAGGACCTCAATGTGTTTTCTGTTAATTTTATATAAGCTTCAGGGCTCTCAGGAATCACTACATCTGTGGAAAAAGAGATATACAACATAACATACCAACAGTTTACAGAGAAGACCTGCTCAGGGTGGTGGACACTCAGGTGGAGCATTATCTTATGAACATCCTTCAGGTAAAACACACTCACCTGTAAGTGCTGCAGTGGCCAAACACAGTAACTCCTCATCCTCATCTTTTTGTCTGCCCCGTTGTGCAGACATGGTATGGCCCATGGGGTCCAGGTCATAGTCATGGTCCCATTCCAGAGGGATGGAGTCTACACTGGCAGGGGTGTCCCGGCCGGAGCCGTTTGTGCGAACAGGATCAGTGCCAGCTGAAGGTGGTCTGCTAGATGTCTGGGACATGGTACCATCCTCACCCCACTGAAGGTCTGAGAGGTCACCTGACTCGAATTCACGATCTGAGCCTTCACACTCATCATCGGTTAGCTGCAAATGAGAGGTAGCATAAAAGTGAGAGCCACATTTACACAGGCAAAGCAAAAGCTGAAACAAACAAGAGTGCATGCATGTCTGAGGTTGTGTCTTACCGGCAGGCGTGTGAGTTTCCGGTAGTAGCGCTCCACCCGACCAAACACCTCCCTACAGTATCTTTGCAGCTCATCCAGCTCCTCCTCTATGACAGCAGCATCCAGAGGCTCACTCTTCTTCATCAGCACCTCCCCCTGCCCAAACACACTCTCCATCTTCCCCATGTTCAGACTGATCTCCTGCTGGAATGCCTGTGATGCACAAGTGTTCACAAGTAAAGTGACAAGTAATTCTGAATACAATTTAAAAGTAAATGTTCTACAGAACAAGTAAAAATTATTCTGCTTGAGCGTTTCCTAGGTCTAAAATACATATCATGCATGATAGTGAATTGTCAATGTATAAAAACGCTACAGAATTTTTTTTGGCTATAATGAATATTCAAATTCACACTCAAATATCCTTAAACATTTGCCTGTCTGGTTTAAGAAAATGCATTTCTGTGCATTTATTTTGACTGGACAGTATAAGGACAGATTGGAAATAATGAATTAGGACTGGGACTCAAACTCAAGTCACCCCTAAGCACTGCTGTGCCATATGTTGGAGTGCTGCCCACAAGGCTATAGCTCTTACATGTTCATATTTTTTTAAAATGTAAATTATTCATGTATGCTCACACAGCCCTTACCTTTAGTTGTTTGATCTTGGACTGAACGTCACACTCTGAGAAATGCTCGATGTTGGTGAGCTGCAGGTCCATCTCAGTCAGCCATACCAGAATACAATCTCGGGCTGTTTCAAACTCCTCTCGCTGACCAATAAAATGCTGCAGGACAAAATAAGAACAAGTCAATTAATCATGCTGCATCTCTTTGTAGTTTAGGTTCTGCATCAACAGTGATTCTTACAGAGGTTCTGAATATATAAGTATATACACAGTAAGTTATTACTTCAGACTTCAGTGTCACTTGATTCTTCAGAAATCATTCTAATATGCTGTTTTGGTTAATTTCCTATTATTTCAAAGTTGAAAATATTTGTGCTGCTTAATATTTTTGAGAAAACAGAATTTATGTTTTTCTCTGGATTCTTGGATGAATAGAAAGTTGAAAAGAGCAGCTTTGAAATAGAAATATTTTGTAACATAATAAATGTCTTTACTGTCGCTTAATACATTTAATGTGTCCATGCTGAATTTTATTTTATTTTTTTTTCTTTAAAAAAAATCTTACTGACACCAAACTCTTGAATGGTAGTGTATATGATATATAACTGATAATATATCACCTTGAGTCTGCGCAAGATGGCAGCTACTCTCCTCTGTAGTACATCCCAGCGTCGGTTCCCATCATGCACCATTTGTCGTAGATGGCAGGATGAGTCTGTGCGGTTCTCACGTGCCAGCCTTCGATACTGCTTATTGATCAGCTCCAGCTGGGTCAGACACTCCTGTACCTGCCTCTGAAACGCCTGTGATTCAAATTACACCATTACATTGTGCAAACAAAATCTTAAGGGCCAGTTTTACTAAACAGGGCAAATTTGCGCGAGAGTGCAATTCCAAAACGATGGGCGTGGAAATTTCTGCGGGTGATTAACTAACAACGCAAATTAAAGAACACAAACGCAACATTTACATATCGACCAACGCAATATACCAAGCGCAGGGCAAATTAGCGTAGTCGCGAATAAACAATAAAGAAATAAATAAGCCACAGTACGTTGAAAAGAACGGAGGCCAAAAAATGAAGGGTTGCCAGAGGTTTTGATAGAACTGGTATTGCGGGACTCCTAGATGAGGGTTCCAAGTCATCTTTTATTTCCTGAAGCAAATAAAAAATAACATGGCTTGGCAAACGATATGTTCGGATTATGTGTTCTTTCCAAATAAATTAATACGTGTTGAAAAATCCTCTCCCTTCTTACCACGCGCTCTCTGTTCTCTGCGGTGCCTTCTTCTAGCAACAATAATTGCAGCCATTTCAAACTCGAAATAGTTTAAGACATGCTTTTTTGGGGCGTTAAATAATGGCGCAAATGCCAGTAATTTGACGAGCACAAACGTTAGTAAAACGCGTTGCGTAATTCATTTGAATACTCTCCTTCCATAAATTTTTCGTCTGAAAGGGAAACTCCTAGAAATGCATATTCAATAAGGTCAGGCGCAAAAATAACTGTGTCCACGCCTTTTCAGCACTAATTCGTCACTGCCCGTCTTTAGTAAATCCTGACAGTACTATTTTAACGCCAAAAGACGGTTTGCGCTGGCGCAAGCTGTTAGTAAAACTGGCCCTAAATTCACACACAAACTGGAAAAACTGAAAACTACACATTGGTTAAAGGTGCAATAGGTGATTGTCTTCAGAAACATTTTTTGTTATGCTGGTTTAACGTCTCTTCACATCCCGATAGCAATTATTAAGTTAAGTGGTCTAAATGTATTTGTCTGTATTTATATATTCTGTGGAAGGCGTAGGATCAAGAAATGTTCGTCCAATCAAAACGCTCGGTCCGAGCGTTTTAATTGGCTTTCCTACCTGCCTGTCAACGTATGTATTAGCATACCTCTGCGCACCCAGTTCGCGCAGACAGGATACTCATCAGCGCGTTCACGCACGCTGTGCAGACAGAGCGAGGATGGCAGGCAAACATCAACAACCCGATCTTCCTTCCTGGTATTGTAGTACTTTTAAAGTTTTCTCACCGGTGAATGACACATGATGTAGCCCAGCGGTTAATCCAGTCCTTGCGCCAGCTCGTTAGAAGTGAGCTACGTGCATGAACTGTGTTCCGATCGATATGATCCCTACACAGTGTTCATTGCTCCCTACTCCCTGAGCCGGGGAAATCCGTTGAAGTTTACTTCACTTCAGAACATGGGCTGGAATTGGGAACCGCTGATGTAGCCTATTGTAGTAATGTTGTCTCTGGTATTCTGGTCTGTGAGCGTAAATGCGTTAAGGGGGCATGGCTTTGGACGGCGATTGCAGGGAGGGTGGGAAGTTCGCTTTCAGTGCTATCAGGCTAAAGTTAGCATTTTCCAAGATCTCCTACTGCACCTTTAAGTGCATATTTAAAAGAAATAATGGTTTAGTATTTGTTTTAGTCATCAATGACATTTTACAGATTGTAAAAGACTAAAGATTGAAGTAGACTGCACTGTCGCCACTGGATGCCAGCAGAGATCTTTTTTTTTTTTTCCCAACAGTATTCTTGTTACTTATCTGTCTTTTTGTATTCAGGCCCTATTCACAATTATCCTCTTGACTCACTACCTCAACCTTATTAACCCTCTCTGTGGATCTCTTAGTACCTCAAACTTCTTGAGCTCTTCTTTAGCGATGGTGTACAGCACTCCAGAGGAGTTGGGCAGAGCTGCTGTCCTCTCTGACACTTTTAGCCACTCTTCAAAACGGGAGTAATCATCCAGAAACTTCTGCCACAACCTCCATGTCTCCTCAATCCTGCAAAAACGCATACAGTGAGTTTCAAACACATATACAGTGCTGTGAAAATGTTTTTGCCCCCTTTCTGGTTTTTACATTTTTTTGCATGTTTGTCACACTTAAAAGATTCATATCATCAAACAAATTTTAATATTACACAAAGATAACCCAAGTAAAAACAATATGCAGTTTTGAAATAATGATTTCATTTATTAAGGGAAAAAAGCTGTCCAAACCTGCCTGGCCCTACGTGAAAAATGAATTGCCCCCTAAATCTAATAACTGGTTGAGCCACCCTTTGCAGCAACAACTGCAATCAAGTGTTTGCGATAACTGGCAATGAGTCTTTCACATCGCTGTGGAGGAATTTTGGCCCACTCTTCTTCGTCTCAGCCACATTGGAGGGTTTTCAAGCATAAATGGACTGTTTAAGGTCATGCCACAGCATCTCAATCGGATTCAAGTCCGGACTTTGACTTGGCCACTCCAAAACCTTAATATTGTTTTTCTTGAGCCATTCAGAGGTGGACTTGCTGGTGTGTTTGGGATCATTGTCCTGCTGCATAACCCAAGTGCGCTTGAGGTCACAAACTGATGGCCGGACATTCTCCTTCAGGATTTTTTAATAGAATGCAGAATTCATGGTTCCATAATTTATGGCAAGTCGTCCAGGTCCTGAAGCTGCAAAGCAGCCCCAGACCATCACACTACCACCACCATGTTTGACTGTTGGTATGATGTTCTTTTTATGAAACCCTGTGTTGGTTTTACGCCAGATGTAACGGGACACACACCTTCCAAAAAGTTCAACTTTTGTCACATCAGTCCACAGAATATTTGCCCAAAAGTCTTGGGAATAAACAAGATATTTTTTGGCAAATGTGAACGAGCCTTTGTGTTCTTCTTGGTCAGCAATGGCTTTTGCCTTGGAACTCTCCCATGGATGCCGTTTGTATATATATATATATATATATATATAAATGTTTAGTCTCATCAGTCCACAGAATATTTGCCCAAAAGTCTTGGGGATAAACAAGATATTTTTTGGCAAATGTGAGACAAGCCTTTGTGTTCTTTTTGGTCAGCAATGGCTTTTGCCTTGGAACTCTCCCATGGATGCCGTTTTTGCCCAGTCTCTTTCTTATTGTTGAATCATGAACACTGACCTTAATTGAGGCAAGTTAGGCCTGCAGTTCTTTAGATGTTGTTCTGTGTTCTTTTATGACCTCCTGGATGAGTTGTCGTTGCGCTCTTGGAGTAATTTTGGTAGGCCGGCCACTCCTGGGAAGGTTCACCACTGTTCCAAGCTTTCTCCATTTGTGGATAATGGCTCTGACCGTGGTTCGCTGGAGTCCCAAAGCCTTAGAAATGGCTTTAGAACCCTTTCCAGGCTGATACATGTCAACTATTTTGTTTTTCATCTGTTCTTGAATTTCTTTAGATCGCAGCATGATGTGTTGCTCTTTAAGCATGCTTCACTTTGTCAGACAGGTTCTATTTAAGTGATTTCTTGATTCAACAGGTCTGGCAGTAATCAGGCCTGGGTGTGGATAGTGAAATTGAACTATTTAACAAAATTTTAGCTTTCTAAAATAACGTGGTTAATCACAGCTCTTTCATTATTTAATTATCATGGGCAATTAATTTTTCACGTAGGGCCAGGTAGGTTTGGACAGCTTTTTTCCCTTAATAAATGAAATCATCATTTAAAAACTGCATTTTGTATTTACTTGCATTATCTTTGTGTAATATTAAAATTTGTTTGCTGATCTGAATCTTGTAAGTGTAACAAATATGCAAAAAATAAAAAAAAACAGTAAGAGGGCAAAAACCTTTTCACGGCACTGTATAGTCCAGTATATCTACTTGGAAATATAATTTTACAGTATCATCTAGGGGGCTTACTAAAAATACTTTATTTTAAAAAGACAGCTGTTAAACAGTTCATCATGTGCTGAAGTCAACTCTGAGTCATCTGGCATGACACATGCTCTCCCACCTGTTCCTCTGGTGGCCTGATTCAACTTTAACTATACTAAATAACTCATTTTCAGCTCACAAATACATTTTCTTACCTTTACAGAATTCAATTCGTAAACTGCAGTCTTCATTAGTACAGGTGCATCTCAATAAATTAGAATGTTGTGGAAAAGTTCATTTATTTCAGTAATTCAACTCAAATTGTGAAACTCGTGTATTAAATAAATTCAGTGCACACAGACTAAAGTAGTTTAAGTCTTTGGTTCTTTTAATTGTGATGATTTTGGCTCACATTTAACAAAAACCCACCAATTCACAATCTAATTTGTTGAGATAGTGAATTGGTGGGTTTTTGTTAAATGTGAGCCAAAATCATCACAATTAAAAGAACCAAAGACTTAAACTACTTCAGTCTGTGTGCATTGAATTTATTTAATACACGAGTTTCACAGTTGAATTACTGAAATAAATGAACTTTTCCACAACATTCTAATTTATTGAGATGCACCTGTATATACTGTTCAAACATTTGGGATTTTTAAAAAATGTTTTTCAAAGAAGTTTCTTATGCTGCAAAGCTGCATTTATTCCTGTGATGGCAAAGCTGATTTGGTGCTCAAGAAAGACTTACTATTATTAATGTTAAAAACGGTTGTCATGTTTGATCACCTTAAAGTATCCTTGCTGAAAAAACTATTTTCTTTTTAAAAAACCTTACTGAACCCCAAACTTTTAAACGGTAATGTACTTTTACACAAAAACCAAGGTGTACATTTTCCAGTGCATCAATTTACTTATGAATCACACACAACACACTCACTTAAGCCTTCTCTCCATGGCAATAGCACAGATGTTTCTCCAGCGGCGATCGAGGCCGCGTGTGGCCTGCTGGATGGATTCACACTCGGTCTCTGTGGCACAGGCGTCACAGTCGTGCAGCAGCACCTCACACAGGTTCAACACTGATGCCACACCTGTGCTGTGCTTCTCGATGTCGCGCTGCAGATCCTGCACAGAGATAGTAGACTTCTACTGAGCTTCTCACGACATCTGACATTTTAATCATCTTGGCTGTTTCTATTTCATTTCTGTTTATTAGGCAGAGGAGCTTGTGGTCATGCATTTCTCTACAAATGTGTTTCATCTTGTTGCATCATCAGTTCTAAAAATGTTTGCTTAACACTGCTTCTTTAAAATGATAATTTGTCTCTGATGCAGAAAGAGGCTGATATGTGCTGGCTGTTGCTGGGTAAAGTGAGGATACATTGTGATACTGAAACAGTAAGTGGGTCATTGACTGAGCCAGAAGTCATCACGTTCTTATTTTGACTTTTCACCAGGGCTTTTAAACTCTTATTTTTACTTGCAGATATTTAAATTATTTTTAATACTAGTTTTCAATATATACTAAGAAATGTTTGTGTGTTTGTGCAAAATTACTTGTTTATTGAGCTTTCCTAAGACTTACTATACTGACAGACTTTTATGTAACCATATGTAAATTCATGTCTTTTCTGTGTGTGTGTGTGGGTTACCTGTTGCTGGTTGAGTTTTCTTTGGATCTCATGTGAGTCACAGGTTTCATAGACGATGGGTCGTGAGAGTTCAGTCTCAATGTGAGCCAGCCAGGAGCGCAAACTGCTCATGTTCTTATCTAGCTGCTGCACGGCCACCAGTGTCTCCCGCAACTTCTTTACCCTACAGACCCCAGAGACAGAGAGACAGAGGCAGAGTACAGAGATTGTATTAACAACACATTCTGCGAAAAGTGTAATTAATCTGCAAGTGTAATTAAGCTATATAAACCAGGACTGTGCAGTGCAAACATCTTAATGTTTAGTCAAAGAAACGTGAGATCAGAATGAAATTTGCCTTTCAAGAATAAGTATCGATTTGTGAACAAGGACTTTTATACTATTGATGTCTTTCGATAACATAGCATTTTAAGTTAGACATAGCTCAAAACAAAGACAAAAATACTTCTGATAGTTTATTATTATAGATATAAATTGTAATAAAAAAATTAAAATAAATAATCATTATTAATTAATAGTAATAGTAATGTATATTAAGTTAATATAATAGTATTATAATAGTTCAATAATTATTTACTTAATTTACACTGAACAAAATTATAAATGCAACACTTTTGTTTTTGCCCCCATTTTTCATGAGTTGAACTCAAAGATCTAAGACTTTTTCTATGTACACAAAAGGCCTATTTCTCTCAAATATTGTTCACAAATCTGTCTGTCTCTGTGTTAGTGAGCACTTCTCCTTTGCCGAGATAATCCATCCACCTCACAGGTGCTGATTAGACAGCATGATTATTGCACAGCCCTAAGCCATAACCCTAACCCTAAGTCATCGGAGAAAAAACAAAAGTGTTGCGTTTATAATTTTGTTCAGTGTATATTTGTCAACAATAAATTTATTCTGAATATCAGTTACTGGACATTTAAAGAAAAATAATTAGTATCGCAACTGTCATGAAAATACAAAATCAGTTCATCTCTACTTTCATCACAGCATAATTAGCTAAAAATAATGCATATACAATGATACTGCTTATAATAGCATAGCAACATGATTCTCTAGCATCTATTAAATATTTTCAGTGTAAATATAAACATATAATTTACATAGATATATATATAAGTAAAGCATTTGCATTACATTGTCCAATTTCAATAGTAGAATTATGAATGACTTTGTCTCTTGTTAACTGATGTACTGTAAGGTCAAGGTGTCTTGCATATATAACAATATAAGCAGAGGTAGAATGCAATCCAATGGTGTCAGAGTTTCCTAGAAATCCTGAATGTGCCTAAAAATATAGAATCACATGCTCATTGCAGTGCCACCAACATACCAGCATAGCATGTTTCAGCTGTGCCACCATTCCAGATCTAGATCTCAGAAAAATGTCTTATCTCAGACTGGATGTGAAGCAAAGAGCACAGATGCAGAGTGGACACGTTTCAACTTCTGCTAACTTTGATTGAAACTTTGGTGTATGCTTTAGGCAGTTAGCTAAAACACAGACATTGTTTGACCTGGTGAGATAAAGCCCTCATGTAACCCTGGTATGTGAACGGTTCAGTGTGACTGTGCTTCAAGCTACATTCCTAAAGCACCAAGTCACACTGAAACTGAACCCACCGCAACAGCAACAGAAGGTCAACAAATACAGCATGGTATAAGCATTTTCATGATATAAGCATTTAACCAACCAAAATTGTCAGTAAAATTATTGGGCAATCACATATGTGAAGCAATGACAGCTTCACTTAAGCATCTCAAACTACATATTTCACCCACAAAAACTAATAAAATACATTTCAGACACTTCGCCAAAGACGTGTCTTAAGTATGACAGAAAATACCACATTTCATTGAAACTTCCAGCACCGCATTAAAGTTGAATTGCATTAAAAGAGAATCTGTAATATGTAAATGATAAGTGGATAAATGTTTTCCTGCCTGTTAATGTCGCAGTCACACTCTGGCAGATCTGAGTCCTGTCCAGGGCTTCCTGCCATGTTATCAGTGCCCATATCCAGCACCATTGGGCCTAATCTTCTCGATCAAGTGTCCCAGAAGAAAGACAAACTTCCACCATATCAAAATTCCCCTTCTCTTTCGTCTGAGCAACAAAGTGACCAGGCTTTCTCTAGTCCCCAGGTTAGTGTGTGGGGTGTCTGAGCATGTGTGTGTGTGTGAACTGTTCTCAAGTGCAGGCATGAGCAGCTGGGAGTGACAAAAACTGCTGTGGCTAAAATAAGATGACAGTCATTAGCATGTGCTGATCAGAGGACTGGATTGTGTGTGTCGGTCATTATTCATTTAAACAAACACTGAAAAATTATTTTTTATTTTGATTTATTAAAATAAAAAAAAATTTTAAGAGAAAAAATGAAGAAAGTGCTAAACAATAGCACGATTTCTTTGGTTTTAAAGAACAAAAACTGTTGTTTTGCAGCTTTTTAAAGTAGTCTATTATTGTTGATGATTTTTGTTAAATCAGTGTTCATACTCCACTGTCTTATTATTTACAGAATTGTTCTAACCTTTGTTGAAACCAATTACCAGTTCCAATTGAGTATTCAATATTAATTTTATTCATTTCAACTCATTTACTCACTTTACCCATTTAAAAGTAAACTAAACAAAAGGAAAATAAAGTAACAATGAAATTATCTTTGTAATGTTGCAAGAGTAACATCAGTTGTTGCACAGGTTATATTAAAGGGGTCATATGACGTTGCTAAAAAGAACATTATTTTGTGTATTTGGTGTAATGAAAGAACAGTGTTGTAAATACAACGTGACCACTGATTTCTAGTCGTATCCTCTTTTGGAAGGCCAAACAAAGTAGTTTCGCTTTCACAACGAAACACACAGCGCCTTCACGACATGGCGGCGGCAACAACAATACTACAACGTGAATAAAAGTTACGCCTTCTTTCTTTGGGTGAACATTTGGGCGGTGTTATGCAAATCTTCCCACATCGTGACGTAGACATTTGGGGGCGTGTTAGAACGAGCCGTTTTAGGTAGGCGTGGTTGACTCTTAACTTTTATAAAGAATATCTCTTTGGATTTGAGACTTTAGTCTTTGCAACTTTACAGATCTTCTTTATGCACCAAGAGCTTGTAACACTTCAAAGAGAAAGGAAAATTTGAAATCGCATCATATGAACCCTTTAAGAAAAATGTAAATTGGGAAATACAAAATGACTAAAGTAGAAATTCAAAATATTTTGGGAACAAATTTGTAAAGTGAGTTAAACTTCCTTTTAGGGATATCCTCATTAGTATAAATAGTATAAAAATAAAGTAAATAAGAGTTTTTTTATTTGTAAAAATGCATTAAGTTTTCTGTCAGGATTGGTTATAGTATTTATGACTAACTACATATAAAAACAATAATTTGGAATGCCATGCATTTAGAAAGGCAACTAAATGTGTGTAAGAAAAAGGGTGTGTCAGTGTGTCTTTATTTTAAATATGTTTGCTTGTGAACAGTGTGGATACTTTTCCTTGAGAAAAATCTCTGCAGTTAGCTCTTTAATTGAATCCAAATAAAAGCATGTCAATCTATTACACTTCGGGAAAACTCAAGACAGTAGCTGTCGCACAGAGCTAATGCACATGAGTGAGAGTGCGAGAGAGAGGATGACACTCTCACACACTGGCCACAGTGAAATCAACACCATACGTGAGAAGCTTTCAGTCCTGACTGCAGACAACTCGACTTTACCAGTCATATCCAGAGACACCATGGTGTCATGTTTAAGATGCTGGTGCAAAATATTTCCTTTCCACCCACGGTCCATTAGCACATGGAACATGCTCAGTTCACGCCCCAATTTCTATAGATGACACTCAGCAAAAGAACTGACTGATCTTTCAGGAATTTATTTTTTAATTTCTGAATTAAAACATTCTTTAAAAAAAAAAAATCTTTGGACTTTTGTTCTATAAAAGACATAAAAGGCACAACAACTGTAACTATAAATGTAAAACAGTTGTACAACAATGTACAACAATAGGTACAACTTCATGCAATATCATTTGAAAGACTCACCTAGCTTCTATAAGGTCAAGCAGATGCTGCCAGCGCTCATTGACTTTGCTGAGTTTGTATTGGATTTCTGCAGCTTTGCTTTCATGGCTGGCCTGAGCCAATCTCTCCCCCATCTGTTCCAGCTGATGCTTGTTCTCCTTGGCCACTGAGATCTCTTCCTGATAGTCCTGATAACAAAGAGATTGCATGTTTTTTTAGCTGAATACAAGAATTTGGATAGATTGTTTTTCACATATTCACTGAAATAAGTAATAAGAAAAAATACATTTTAGAGATACGTTTTAGTGTTCAGTGGGATGATTATTTATCAATTTCTTGATTTCATTAGAAACAAATATGTTGTGATTGTATGTTAATTTCACCTTCCTGAGTTTCTCAATCATCTCCTCAATGCTGATGTCGCCGTTCTGTGAGACCTTGCTCTCCATTTGTGTGAGCCACTCACACAGCTCTTTGTTCTTCTCATTGAACACGGCCCACTCATTCAGCCTCTCGCTCACCTGCTGCCTGCGCAGGGACAGCTACAGGGATGACAGACAATGATTAATTACAACATGGGTTCACTGAGTACAGAGTACGAATAAATGAAGGACGTCGCGGCCGATGAGAGAATGTGCAAAAAGTTACTTAAGTACTTTAGTACAGTAATACTTTAGTGTCATGCACCTTCCTTCTTTCTCATGGTCCTTTCTTTACTAAGAGACATCAGGGATTAAGAGGCACATTATCATTGCAATCCTTTATACTATGTTGTCCTGAGCAAATAAGGAGCCATCAAGAACTTTGATTCAACAACAGCATTAATTCTCTGTAAGTTTGTGAGCGAATGCAAAACTCAATCTTTATCTATTGAATTTAACTATTTTTTTAAGTTGCTCAAAATTCAAATCAGTGCATCCCTTTATATATTCAATATCTGACTTAATGAAAACTTGAATTTTTTTTATCAACTGTAATGTACTGTAAAGCCTCCACGTCTGAGCTTGTTCCCACTGCTTCTGTCACATGAAATGCCTGTGCTTATGGCAGACAGCTGTGCATAGAATGTGTTATGGTGTAAAACAAATGCAAAGGGACAGACCGATGTGTATGTGTGTACCTGGTGACAAGTCTCCTCCCACTGTCTCTGGAGTAATATAAGTCTCTCCTGTAGGACTGTGAGGTTATCTGCACTGAGGCTGCTGGAGAGAGACTCCCTCAGAATACACAGGCCGGCTACATCATCAGCCCAGCCTTCAATACTGCTCTCCAATTCCTATCACACACACAAACACATACATTCATGAACACATCAGAAATAAAATAATAAAATTAAATTTAAGATTTAAAAATAAAATACATACAATTATATACAATAAAATATAGTAAAATTAAGTTCAAACTGTAACTGTTGAAAATTAAATTTCAGGACAAAGTTTTTACATTTAAAATAAATAAACATACAAAAGCCATGTAAAATGTAAAAATAAAATAATTAAAATTCAGTGGAGATATAGTTTAAATTAAAGTTAAAATTGAATAATTTAAACTAGAGTTCAAAAGGTAAATATTGTAAACAAAATAAGAAAATAAAGAAAAAAAATTAAAATTAAATAAAAGGAAAAGTAAAATAATTATAATTTTAAAAATACATTAATTTGTAAAATATATCCTGTCCTTAACCCTACCCCTAACAAGCCAAAATAAAATAAAATATTTACTAAGACTGCTGGATACATTTATCTAAAACAGAAGAATATTGACGGCACATATTCTTCCCCAACACACAGTAACAACCAACAGACCTTAATTGCATTTGTATTGATATTGATATCTCGGCTGGCATTCACAGCAAGTTACACTGTATAATCCTAATATAGAGATTGTATGTGACTCACAGATAACAACGGTCGACAAGACATTAAGCACACAATAAACACATAAGTGATCTCTGTATCGAGAAATAATTTGAATAGAAAAAAGCTGTCAATATTTGCTGTTTCTTTTTTTTTTGCTGCTGCATAAGCACTTCTTATTAAAGCTCAGCGTCTCTGCTAACATGATTTTTTTAGAATGATTAGCATGCACCTCAACTTCCTCCCCTCAGGCAAAGTCAAAGAGACTCTTGCTGACAGTCCAGCTCATACAGACCAGAGCAGGTCGATGTTACTTTCACACACCTTCTGCTATACTGCACACACCTCTCTGCAACATCACGTGTGAAAAATCAACCCTCCTTTGCAGATAAAAAATTCAGCAGAGTGTCAGGGCATCTCACACACACACACACACACACACACACACACATTCTGCAAGAAGCATGCAAGGGTATTATTAATGCAATGGTTGACAGCAGCAGACTGCACAAACCAATCATTATCTGGACTATCGAGATACTGTTGCTTTATTACTGCATATCTGGTCAGGAAATTGTGTTTAATACTTTAGCTCAAATAATAAGAGATACTCAGATGTTGCTGAAGCAACACACATCTAAAAGGTCATAGGACACAAGATGAGTCAGATTTTGTTTATGTACCTTGCAGCGAATCTGTTCTGTGTGCAGCTCCTCATGGTGGTCGGGTAAAGGCACAGAGAGCTTTTGCTTAAAGTCCCTCAGCTTCTCGTGTGATGCAGCAATTCCTTTTTCACACTGATCCCAGCTCTGCACACATAGCCAGAAAAAAAAAGTGAATCATGAGAAAGCATGATAAAGAGATGTTTATGCCAGTATAATCTGCACAATATACATAATTATGTATCTTAGTCAAATTTACCTTAGCAATTTTAAAGCTTGAATGCAACATGTTCATTACAACACTTGAGGAAAAGTCAGAAAGATGTTCAGAGATCATCACATTTTTAATGAGGAACGCAATACAGAACGTCATATGTAACCAATTCTTTATTTAAACATGGGCAGAGCAAAGGGTCATGGTGCTGAGACACAAGAGAGACAGATAATCATGCACAGATAAAGCAGTGAGGTACCTTCTATCATGTAATCCGAGAAAACAGAGGGATGTGGAAGAGAGAGGAAGAGAGAGAGACAGAGGCCGAAGGAAAGAGGAGCCATTTTTCTTTTGCAATCCAAAATTGTTGTCTATGCCCCAGTGTGCTGCGTCAAAATGGAGTGGATGACTGCCTGTCTCTGCTGCCCTGTGTTGGACTCCCTCCCGCGTCCTGCCTTCTACAGTACTGAAGATATTTCTCTCGCCTTCAGCTCCCTCGCTGCCTCTTTCTCCTGTTCTCTCTCTTTCATCCCCCTCACACGCACTCACAAAACACATCACACATTCTCTCTCTCTCGTTATGCTAGCTCGCCTCTATTTGCTCTGTAAGGTCAGATGCAAAGTCCTTCACTGTCTCTCTTTTCTTTTAGGAAAAGAACTTTGAATGTGAGATCCATTTATAGGTTTGAGAACGTTCAGTTAGTATATTTCTTTTTTGTTTTATGTTTCTGTATTTCTGATATTTGTAGTGCAAAATAGCTTTCAAAGTAATGAACAATCCCTGATTTCACTAAAACAAAATAACCAAGAATATTTAAACAACAAAACAATCTGATCCTGAACATTTGATTATAGACGCACACCCATTTAAATCTATAAAAGATGTTGTACTATAAAAATCCTAAACTGTAACACATCGTACAAACAACCAGAAAACACTGCAACAAGTACATCTGCAACAATGAAACAGCACGTCATATATAGAAAGTGGGTTCCAAAAGTCTGAGACCACATAGAAATTTTTTTTTAAACTTAAAACAAAAGCCTGAAGATATTTTTTAGGATATAAAATCAATTTTAAATAAATTGTTTTAAAATAAATATATTTGAATATATATATATAAAAAAAAAAATTTCACAAAATTAGTGAAAGTGAAGTGACATGTGGCCAAGTATGGTGACCCCTACTCGGAATATGTGCTCTGCATTTAACCCATCCAAGTGCACACACACAGTAGTGAACACACACACACACACACACACACACAACCGTGCTGGTTATTCACTGGTTATTCCCTCCCCCTACGACAATTCCTGCCAGATTGCCCTTAACAATAGTACCATAAATAGGTGCTATTTATAGGTTGTTAATCGAATACAACAAAATTACAAATGACAAACTTCTAAAATTCATTTTAAAAATTCCTTTTTTTTTTACACAAGTTGTTGTAATAATATATAGTAACAAAAAATAAACGTCAGTTAAATTAGTAAATATAATTGCAAAATAGAAGCATTTTTACCAGTGGTCTCAGAGTTTGATCCTATTATACATAATCATACATGTGCAAAAACCAACCAACTTACAGGAAAACACATTCATCTAAAGGAAATTACCCAACAAATGTAAATAATCAACCAAAATTACTCAACAAAGATTTGCTGCCATCTGGAAATAATGAACTTTCTCCAAACAGCAAAAGTCATGTGCTTGTACTTTGTCAATGATACGAACTACTAAATCTAGCAAATCAGCAACCAGACAAACAGTAAGTACACCCATTTACTCTTAACTCACCCTTAGCAAAGAGAGCAGTTCTTTCTTCCTCTCGTCGAGACGGATGTTAATGGTCCTCCAGCGCTCCTGCACATCAGTCAGCTCAGTGTGAAGTGAGGCCTCCGTTCTGGCATCAGCCCACAGAAGGAGTTGCCTCCCGGCCTCCACCGTGAGGATGTAGCTGCCCTGTTGCCTCTGGAGCACACGCTCCTTCAGCTGGGTGGAAAGAAGGGGACATCCAGGGTACTTCAGGCTATTTGCAGGAAGCCATTATTTCTACTTTAATGTAAATATGGCTATATCTTTACCTGTATGTGGTCTAACATGCCACGGATCTGCTGTAGTGCTACTGTTGACACTTGTTGTTGCTCCTCTGGTTCCACTGACACTTCTTGCAGCCAATGACGCAGTTTCTCTATCAGCTCTGTGTACCGCTGCCACTGCCGAACCAAACTGTCAATAATCCCCCGTCTTTGCTGGGCCCGCCTCACCACACCTTGCCACTGGTTACTAAGCAGTGCCAGTTTCAAGCCAAATTCATCCCTTTTGGGCGAGAGGACAAAAAAGAGAGTGTCACTACAAGTATGAATGAAAGAATAAGAATAAGAATAAACAAGTAAACAAATGTTACCTGTCTTCCACTTGTCCCTGATTCAGGAGCTGATGTCCATCATTGATGATAGAGTATAGAATTTGTTGTCGACTAAACATCTCTGCTTGGAATAGCTATTCACACACACACACACACACACAAAAAGTAGAGCAGTTGCATAAAGTAGGTAATTAAACTATGACCCAATGCATTTTATGCTGCATAGTTTGATCATTTTTAAACTGAAAAAGCTTATTAATATAGCCATCTTATTAAGGTTTGAGTTTTGAAATAAAAACTGAATATTGACAGAAAAAATGCTGGGGTCAAAATTGTCCTAATAAGAACAATAAAAAAATGTTGAGCAGCAAATCAGCATATTAGAATAATTTCTGAAGGATCACGTAACACTGAAGACTGGAGTTATGATGCTGAAAATTCAGCTTTGCCATCACAGGAATAAATTTTAAAACAGAAAATAGTTATTTTAAATTGTAATAATGTTTCAAAATATTACAGTTTTACTGTATTTTTGATCAAATAAATGCAGCCTTGATGAGCATAAGAGACTTCTTTCAAAAACAAAAACAAAAAAAATCTTGTTGACCCCAAAATTTTTGAATGGTAATGTAAATGCGGCTTTTCATTTGATGTGAACAGGCCTTTAGTTGTAGTTATTTTAAAAAAAGTATTTTTTTCTATCAGTACCTCATGCTCTCTCTGCTGGTCTAGTAGGCTCTGGTAGTTTCCAGAAATCTCAGCGGCCAGTTTCTCTTCTGTTTGGTTAAGGAAGGTCATCCAAGCATCACACTTCTCCAAAAAGGTCTGTCTTTGCAATACCAGGGCTTGCAATTTACTGCACATACATAGAGATGCAGACAACTGAACATTACACACTTTTAGAGAAGAAATTGAAAATCTACCATAGATCCGCAGTAACCACACATACCTGAATCTCTCTATTGTGCGAGCAGAGTTAGACGACCAGCTCCTGTTTAGGTTCTGCAGACGCTTGATTTCATTATCATTGAGGGGAAGCTGATAACCCAACTCATTCAAACGTTCCAGATCAGGAGAAAGACTGCTCAGCTTTAACATTTGGGTCTACAGGCACACATACATATGAGAAAGTTCAAAAGTGTTTATACAACCCTATAATTTTACAGAAAAACTAATTTCACCTTAAGTTTTTCCATGTGTTCCTGCACAGATGAGACATCTGGAGAACCGACTGGGTCTGGTTCCTTCAGAACCTTCTCAGCTTCTTCTGACCAGTGGCTCAGAGAATGTAACTCCTTACTAAACCCCTCATAGTCCCTCATACCCACCTTGAGGAAAGGAAGGAGAAAAAAAACACATTTATACTTGACAGGCTTTACAGTCTGGCATCTGTGAAAGTGACAAAATGTCACAAAGAGTGTCAAAACTATGAAAGGATAGTGTGAAAATTATTTTATTAAAAACACTATATTATTTCATTCAAAATACACACTACCATTTGCAGGTTTGGGGTCAGGAAGATTTATTTTATTATTTTTGAAGGAAATAAATACTTTTATTTAGCAAGGAAGCATTAAATTAATCACAAATAACAGTACGGTTTAGCATAATGTTACAAAAGATATCGATTTTAAATAAATGTTGTTGTTTTGAACATTCTATTCATCTAAGAATTCTTTAAAAAATTCTACTAAAATATTAAGCGATAATAAAAAGAAATGTTTCTTGAGCACTAAATCAGCATACAGTATAATAATGATTTCTAAAGGATCATGTGACACTGAAGACTGGAGTAATGGCTAGTGACAATTCAGCTTTACAATCACAGGAATAAATTATATTTTAAAATACATTTAAATAGATAACTCTTATTTTAAATTGTAAAATTTTTTCACAATATTTCAGTTTTTACTGTGTTTTTCAATCAAATCAAATAACTGCAGTCTTGGTGAGCATAAGGGATCCAAACATCAAATAATCTTACCCCAACTTTTAAAATGCAGTCTATATGTGTGAAAACTGTATAAATGTTCTGTGTCTGTGTGCACAATGTAAAATCTGAATCATCTGAACCTCTAGCAGAGACTGCTGTCTTTGGAGGGTATTCCCAACAGTTGCTAATCGCTGAGTAAATGACAGGTGGTCTGTATGGAAGGTTGTCATGGCAGAGGGGTCCACTTGTTGCCTCAGCTGCTCTGAAAATTCATCCAGCTGCTGCAGGACAGACTCTACGGATCCCTCAGTCGCCATAAGGCCCTGCACAAATACCAGTTTTACAAAGAGGAATACTGTGGCCCTTGCTACAAGGCTTTCACAACTGCACACAGTTGTCAGAATTAGCAATTGCTTACATACTTTTGGGTCACTAACATAATCCAAGCACACAAACATTTAAGAGGCTTCCAAACCCATCATGCATTGATAAATCCACACCTTCACTTCCTGTTCTGTGACGTCCCTGTGGGTGGCGCTCTTGAGCAGCTGTTCCACCTGATCCTCTAGTTTCTGGATGTCAGTGCTGCTCTGAGCATGAAGTGCTTTGTAATGCTGCCACAGTTGCAGCAGGCTCTTATTCCTCCTCAGCTGATCTGAGATCTGCTCCAGCAGCGTGTTCCACCTGACAGCAGATCAGTAGAAGATCAATGATTTCTAAACACTTTGTACTGATCAGTGTCTTTATTAGTTACTAGAAGTTTCTGAAACTCACCTGAGATTTACATCACCCAGAGCTGTGTTGAGTGAATCGCTCACTGAGGGATGACAATCCCTCAGCAGCTGTTGCGTTATGGAGCCCAGTTTCCGTAAACTGCTCTCCTGTTTCTCCAACTCGTCTTGTAAACTCTGAGACACACAAAAACCCGTGGTGATTTTAGGTTGTTTCTCGATATAATGCTAATAAAAGCTCAGTGTTTTGTGGCAGACTAGCACCTCAAGGTTCTCCACTTGAACTTGCACAGCTTCTGGGGAGCCAGTGAGAAGACGCAGACGAGAGATGGTGTAACGTCCCTCCATCAGGTAGCCCTGAATCTCCTCATATGCTTGTTTATACAGACTCCACTGCTCCAGCACTGACCGGAGACTGACCGTCTGCTGCCCAATCTGCAATAACACACAAATCTAATTTAGGACTGATAATCAGTGTTTTGGTGAAAATTATGAACAATATCGTAATGAAGATTACAAAACTAGATGCTTTACCAAAATGCATTAGGTGAAACATACCATGTGATCCAGATTGGCCCAAGACTGGTTTAGACCTTTTAGAGTGTCCATAATAACAGTGCCTGCCTCGCCTTTCTTATCCTGAATTAATAAGCATCCTTTTTCTTCAGCCTTCTCCAGATCCTTCCCTTTCTCCTTTACCAACACTTCCATTTCCTAGCATACACAGACACAGACAATCTGATCAATATTTCAAAACAACAAATCACATAGAATATTTCTGGATTATCTATGTAATCTTTACTAATGAATCCATATACTGTGCATTATGTAGAGCCGAACAACTAGGGTGCAGTACCTACCTGACAATCTTTGAGTGCATTCTGGGCTGAGGAAACATCCTCAATCCTGTGCTTCTTTTTGAGTTTCTCTTCCTGTACACTAAACCAGGTCTTCAAGGTCTGAACCACGTTCTCATACTCTAACCAGCTTTCAAGCAGACCCTCTGAAACCTGAATCTGTGAAACACAAAAGACACCAGTTTGATATACGATAAAATTTAAAGGTAAATGACGCACAACGGGATCCAAAAGTAACAGTCTCTACTTGTAGAAACACTTGTTTAGCATTACTTTATTTTTATTGCTTGATTTTTATTACTTTTATTATTTTCATTACAAATTACATTATCATAACAATTGTAGTGAAAAGTTAAATAAAAAAATTGGTATGAATTTCGGTCTTAGTATTTGATTTGTCCCATTTTTTGCAGAATTGGAGCGGAATGAATTGTACAAGTTTGCACAAATGCTGATATTGCATGTTTTCCAGCACAATGTGAGAATTTTCTATATTTATGTCTAACCTTCTCTGTAACGAGTCCCTGCAGTATCTGCCAGCGGCGGTTCATGGCACCAAGACGCTCAGCAAAGTCTGTTTTGTCACTCCGTTTCCCCTCTACATCCTGACTGCTGATTTGCAGAACTGACTGATTCACAAAGTCCACCGTCAGCTGCTTACAGGACAGGTCAATCCGAAAACCCTGATGAGAGGAGTAAATAAAGAAAAAGAGAGATTTGGTGTCTTGAGTATGAAGTACAAAATGACTAATGATATGTTTTATTATTTCAAAAGTCTTGAAGAATTTTTTTGCTACCTTGTATTTTTGAAGGTACATTTGCACAGCCTCTGATCCCACTGCCTCCATGATCTTCTGCTGATCCTCTTGGATGATATTCTCCATGAGGGATATCCAGCTCATTAGCTCAGTTATCGCATGACGGGATGGCAGCTTCTCCATCTGCAGCTGTTGATCAGAACAGGAATGCTACGATTAGCATAGCCACGTGAGCCTGTTCATTATCTGCATACCCTTCCTTAACTGAAATTAGGCTGTGCAATCAGTCCTAGTCTTCATACCTGGTGTAGTTTCTCCTGGACCACAGGGATACGAGTGAGAAGATCAGCCCATTGTGTGTCTACCTGGGCCAAGTTTGCCCTGAGAGCTGCTGTGTCCACTTTCTTCAACCGGAGAAGCTGATTCCCCTGGCTCTGAACTGAGGCACGCAAAGAAGACTTGGCGTCTACCTCTTTGGAGAACTCCTGCAAATATAGAGCCGATATAGAGTGTGTCTATGAGATCTCAAGTGAGGCCTAAGGCTATTTTAGCAGGATATTTAATGGGTGTTCTTACCAGGAAGGCATGAAGATGGTCTCTGACGGTCTCTAGCTCTTGAGGTACTGTAACAGACTGAGTGCTCCAGAACTCCAGGCGGTCTAGTGCCGAACTCAGCCATTGGCTAAGCTCAGCTGACTCGCTCTGATACCTACAATAAAATATAAAGAGAACATGTGATGTCAATAAAAACATGCATACATGGACACAACCACACAGATGTGTTTCTTGTAAGTTCATTTCTTTCTTAAGGAAGCAGACACTGACAGAATCACACAGAGAAAGTGATCAGATCACAGACCTAATCCAGTGTTTGAGGGTGGAGTCCAGGCGGTGTAGCTCTTTATTGATCTTGGTGGTGGTGCTGAGCCAGTGGTCCCCCAGCTGAGTGAGCTGAGTCTCCAGCTCTGAGCAGGACACATGTAAAAGCAGCCTCTTTCCATCCTCCAACAACTTATACAATTGCTGCTGCCGCTCAGAGAGACTGGCCTTCAAACGCTACAGAGAGAGTGAGACAGTTTTAGATTGTAGATTTAAAATTTTACACAAATCTACTGCAATTTGTGCTCAGTAAGTTTTTTTAAAGAAATTAATACTTTTACTCAGCAAAGAGCCATTATACAGATCAAGTGACAGTAAACTAGAGACAAACGATTCCTATTTTAGAGTAAATAGTAAAATGAATCATTTTCAGACTTCTTTCAGAAACCTTACCAACCCCAATCCTAATATATCAAGCTATAATAAAGTTTCATTTTCCTTCCTTAAATTTAAATTCACATTATAATTATGTATCCTGTTTGCCAATTCATATTAACTTTAAATTCCTGAATTGAGTCATTCAAAAGGCATTCTGAATTGTATTTCTAATGCTGCACAAACCATGCAATATAGATAAAGTATGTAATGTTTTTAATGTAAAATCATGTTTGGTGTTGTATGAATATTATGGTGTAACCGTGTCTGATCCAGTGTTCTGTGTGATGGAGCTGTACCTGATACAAAGCAATTCTATCGCTCAATCTGTCCTCCGTCTCCTCCACCAGGCCTACGCTGGGGATGTTGCTTTCCACTGCCTCCAGCTGTCTGTACAGGGCCTGATAGTCACCCACCAACCTGCTCCACCACTGATGCCACAAAACACAACAGTTATTCACTTCATATGCACTGTACCCTGTGATTATAATTTGCATCTTGAATGCAAATAAAGAAACACAAATCCACACACACCTCCAGAATGCCCTCCAGCTCCACTCCTCGTTTGTGAGCCTGTTTAAGTACAGCCTGGGCCTGAGCCACAGTCTCTTCCAAGCTCTGGACCTCCCGCTGCACCACCAACCCACTGACCTGCCTGAAGAAGGCCTGTGTCAGAACAACATGCGTCTCTAGCCCCTGGAAAAACTCCTGCAGGAAGAGACAAGAGAACATGAGTCCTTGCTCATCAAAATGGTACAAAACATGAATAAATAATCAGTCATTTCATAAAGTAGGTGTTATTGACGGAATGGACATTCACTTTCTTGAGAGCATTTGACTGCATGAGACGAGAGTCTTCAATATTTTTGTTCTTTTTTCCTTAAACAGAAAAGACTATATATTTTATATGTGCAAACTACCATTCAAAGGTTTGGGGTGGGTAATGTTTTCTTTAATGTCTCTTATGCTCACCAATCCTCCATTTATTTGATCAAAAATACAGTTAGAATAGTAATATAGTAAAAATGTCTAGACACATATGTATTAAGCAGACCATAAGAACAAAACTTCTGCTGTACCTTGTGTTTATCTAGAAGAATCTGAACCTCAATCACTGATCCCACTTTCATCTTCTGATCAGCAGCCATTTTGTCCTGGGCGGTGTCCAGCAGATCTACCAGGTCTTGTAAAGCTCTCTCATACTGAGCCTTTAGAACCAAACTCTGGTTTAGCCCACTCCGCTTGGAGCCCACCATCTCCACCAGCTCTTCATAAGCATCCTGCACAGCAAAACACAAGGTCAAGTGGTAAGTCAAATGAAAGACATGAAATCAGTAACTGTAATTGATGTTACGAAATCAAACCACAGGGGAGAGATGTGTGTACCTGTAGTTTCAGCAGCTCTTGAGTGCAGAGCTGGTTGGGCTGCAGTGTCTCTCCCCTGCTCCTCATCTCAGAAACTTTCTGTTCAAATTCCCTCAAACTGTCCTCCGCTTCTGCTAGAATCTGTTTACATTGAATATTCATATTCATAGTAAATTAACAGTTTTGCTTGGGGTCATGCAACTATATCGATGTCATTCTGAATGTGTGTCTGACCTCCATCTGTTTAGAAGCGGGCCGATCCACAGCTGCGTTCATTTTCTGCAAAAGCTGGTACTTTGAGTCACTGAGTGCTGCAAGCAACAGCCTCAACTCAGCCTAAGGAATAGACAAAGAGGGAAATGCATATGTGAGAGAAAGAGCGAGAGAGAAAAAACAATATACTGACTAAAAAAAAAACAAAGATACAAGCAACATATACCTGGAAAACAGTGAGTTCATGAAGCTTGTCTTTCATGGTGTCACATCTCTGTTCCAGCACTGTGTCCAGCAGCTTCAGTCTCCCCTCCAAACCATTTAACACTTCCTCAACCAAAACACTTGTTTTGTATTCCTCTCCATCCCATAGCTGCTCTGTTCCTCCGAGCACATCCCGACATTTACACACCTCCTCGTTGACATTCTTTACCTCCTTATTCAAACTCTGAAGAAAGCAGAAGAGAGTCAGAGTGTCAATGTTTCTTATAACAGACATAATTTAAGAATCCAGTAAAATGACTATGTCTGACCTCTAGGTGGCCCAGGTGAGTCTCTGAGTAATCAGATAGTAATATTGGGCCAGATACAAGCTCATTTTCAGCATTGTCCAGCCAGGAGGAAGCTGACGAAACCGCCTCATAGAGAGCTCTCTTCAGAGCATGAGCACGCCTACTGTCAGCACCACTTGTCTGTGGGAGGACATAAATAAATGACTATCAGCAAATAAATCCTTACTAGTTATAGTAATACAAAATGCTGGTGCAGTTTACCATCCTGTTCTTAAAGTAAAAATATTCTATTGCAGTACCTGAGGCAAGTCCTCCAAATCTTGGCTGAAGCCTTCAAACAGACTTCGTGGAGACAGGATATCCTGACTCAGCTGCTCTCCTCTGAAAACTCCACAGGGGCTGGATACCGGCTGGTATAGCTAAGAGGTATATAATCAATATAATCGTGCTCTTGCAAACTTCGAACTGTCAGGGATAATGTTTTTTAAATAAAGACTGAAAAGAGTTGTTGGAAGCTTAATTGTGACGTTTGCTTTTTTACTTCTAGAGATTGTATTTAGATTTCAAAATTCATGAAAGTTATATAATTTGTCAAGATGAACAAAATATGTAAGAATCATAAACTTTTGTTGGTCACAGAGCCTATTTCCTGCAATAATCCAAAAGCCAACAGCAAAATCTTTTTGGGTTTTTGTCAAGGGAACCTTGGTGATGCTTACTTCAGGGTTTGCCTACAAAAAATGTAATCACTGCAGCCCTCTATTAGGGGAGGGAAGTGATCAGATATAACAGACCATCCTCAAACCTCTAACATTGAAAAACAAAGCTAGGTTATAGTGTTGTAGTTGATTATGTACCGTGTTACATGGAGTCTGCTCCAGTGTGTTTAGTGACAACTGCAGTTTGTTGTTAACGTCTTTGCTCAGGTTCTCCCATCTGACTCTCATCTGATCATTAGTGCTCATGCTCTCAGGCCACTGACCAGCATCCCCTTCAGAAAGTTCTGCAGGAGACCTACATAATGAAGAAAGAAGCTCATTATGAGTCGGTGCTGTACACCATTGTCATTGCCTTTCATAAATGACAAACAGCTTGCAAGACAAAGATATAAACATGTAAATAATGTACAAGAGTGCGGTAACTACCTTTCTCCATTAGGTGTTGTTCGCTGTGAGAGAATCTCCTCTCCTCTAGATGCTACAGATTGCAGTAACTTCTTCTGTTCGCCAAGCTGCTCCTCTAATTCCTGCATTATATGTAAGAACTGATGCTGAAAAAAATCCAAGTAGCTTCTAGCTCATAGAATAACAGAATATCTAAATATTTAAAATCTAAATATTTTAAGATATAATATTTTAAGACTGTGTCAGTATCAGCATATATTATTCTAATTAAGCTGATTAACATCATGTTATTGCTCAATAGCAGATGTTTGATTGTCTACCCTCTGTTTTTGCACTGTGTCTTGATGCTGTTGGTTGCGTGTGGATCGCGCCTGACTGAGCCAATCCATCATATTGGGGCTCTGAGAGAGAGACGAGTCTGATTCAATGTCCTCCTGCTCCTGAAGTGAGCCCTAATAAACAGATAGAAGAGATAGAAATTTAAAGATATTAATGTTTAACAAAGTTGCTGTGGTAATTATATATATATTTTTAAATGGATTAAATCTATAAATGATCAAATTCTGCTCATTATTATTGAACAAAAATATTGTATCAAGTATAAATTTCTGTTTGGTGAAAATAATTTATAGAAGGTGCCCTAAGAATGAACCTAGATACATGTACATAGACGTTCTTGGAAACACACACACACACACACACTAAGTTAAACATCAAGTAGAGGTTAAATGTCAATCATGACTGACAATAGGAAATCGACCTAAATCAGCTTGCATCAGGCTTTTACATGTCACCAACATGTCTCATTCAAAAGAGCTGGGCAAAAATTCCAGACTTCCCCCACAATTTGTAAAAGATGAACAATTTGTTTCAGATAGATGTTGTTGGAGACCAATGGAACATCTTTCACAACAATGAACAGCGCTTGGCATTCTTCTGTCCTGCTGTCCACAAAGCAGCCATTGAGGCGAGGATGTGCTTTTTAGTGTTTTTAGTAACCTCCAATTGTTCTTTTACTAAGTATTCAGACTTTGGCATTTTCTGTCATTCTAATGAATTATAGTTCTTGGGTGTCTCCTCCGTCAAGAAATGCTACTTTGAGAAGTTAAAGTGGTGTCCCTCACCTGGATGTGGGTCTGTTTGTCTTGGAGGATGCGCTGTAGCTCCAGCAGGCTGGATTTGAGGCAGTACAGTTTGAGGGAGAGCTGCTCAGCGTCACCCCGTGTGCCGGCCTTACCCTCCATCAGCAAACTCTCACTGTGCACTGACAGCTCGGACAGACACAGCACCTTCTGCTCGATCTCCAATAACATGTTCTAGACCAGGAACAAAAGATCAGAAGATTAAATTGCTTTGCTTAGATATGATTCAGCAGTGTGAATATTTTAGCTGCTATTAACAATAAATGAAACACTTTTAAATAACATTTAATTACTTTTAATGAACATAAGCAGGATTTGGGCTTGGTTAACCTATTCTTTTCAAGTTGATTTCAGAAACATGTGAAACATCCTCTTTTGTCTTCTCATCTTAAGGAACAGAGCTCTTTTAAGTGCTCTCATTATAAATACAAACAACAAAACCTTCATATGGGTTTACCATTAAGATAAAGTTGTGGGTAAAAAAAACTAAATTCAATGCAACTAAATGGATTTGTTTGCTTTCAGATAATCGGATACATGTAAAAACACAACAGAAGGTATTTGAAAAAATGCGTAAACAGGAGACTTGTGTATGCAGTGACTGATAATCTTCTTAAGCTGCTTAACCTAGACTTTAGACATCTACTGTAGATCTTTACCATACTACATGCACACTAGTCCAGAGAAGTTAGCATACTACTAAGAAAGTAAACAATCAATACATTTTTAAAAGTTTGTGGTGGGCCTGCAGAGTAGCTGGAACTGAATGCTGGTTAATAGTGGAGAGAGCCAGTGGCATTCAGTGAGGAATGAGCAAACATTAACAGCAGCTAAAGGTCAGGGCCACCCTAACTTCTCATAAAGAATCTAACTTTCAGGTTAAAGGTTAACTTGATCCCTACAGCCCTTTAATCAAAACACAAAAGACACACACGTGTGTGTGTATGCTTCTGTGTCTCCTTGAAAAATGCAGACATGCACTGTGGGACGTCCCATGACGGCAGGGAAGAAAAAGCCCCCTAATCCTAATGACCAACAGAATGGGACAAAACCCACACAGCTAATCAGATTTACTTGCGGCCCACTTTAGTGAATCCAGACATTATCAGCCTGCAGAATCCGATGAATTGACTGTTTATATGCCATTGAAAATCTATCTATAAATCTATCAATAAAGATTAAGGATTTTCAAAAACTATACAAGTGCTCTGAAACAATGAAATTGGTAATCTAAAATAAAATGAAATAAATCACTACAGTGCAGATTAACCAAATAAATCAGTATTTTATTAATTGTTTGTTTATTGATAAAGTTGTTTCTTCGTAATGGACATGATTGTATATTTTATACTGACATATTTCCCAGGCCTAGTCTCTTACCTGGCAGTCCATCAGCTGTTCCTCCATGTCCATGTCCTGTGGGTGTGGCTGGAGAGTGGAGCTCAGTGTGGCACGTGTGCTGAGCAGCCAGTTGTCAAGCTCCTCTGCCTCACTATGATAACGCTGAAGCGCTTGTTCCTGCCTCTGTTCTTCTAACTGCTCGCTTAATCGCTCCTGCAGGACAGAGAATTGCATAAAATCAGGCCTATATCAAGTACAATATGCTATATGGGTATATAATAAGTTGTTTCATGTTGAGTCTTCTTAAGCCTAATAAGGCCAGTGAAGACAAATCTCATAGTATTGCCACTGTTGCAAAAATAGTGTGATACCACAAGTTTGTTATGTGTTATCCTCTATTCTTTCTCTTTAATTATGGCTCCTGGGAATTAGTTTAGGCTTGTCTGTCATTTGGTTTATGATCTGCAATTAGTGGTTTTAAGTAGAGAGATGTCCTGACAGTTAAACTGAAAGATTAAAATAATTACTAGGACTAATTACTAATTTGAAATTCCCAACATCTGCTAAACAACAGTACATAAAATAATCAAAACAGCATGCTAAAATCTTATCAGCCGTCTCCATTTCTCTGCATGCTATTATTCCTGCTCACCTCCAGAAGTTGGCGCTTTCCGGAGGCCTTCATGTGGATGGTGGCCATACGTTCTCCTAGCACAGTGAGGGTTGACTGCAGGGCCAGCTGGTCTCCGGCATCTGCCTCCAAACTGTCCTCATCCAACTGCAGCTCTTGGAAGAAGCAGGCCTCCAATGCACTGATCTCATCCTGGAGCATCAGGATCTCATCCATCAAAGCCTGAGGAACAACCAGGAAACGGCTTTATTTTAATTCAGGTTTTATTAGAAAGTTGATTTGCTCTAGTTGCAAACAGTAAAGCTACATTAAAGGCCACAGAAAGGAAAATACTTCTAGGTAAGAGATTAGTTTTAGACACAGGAGAAGTTGGTAATCTAGAGGGTAACCCTGTCCCCTGGCTCGTATCGTTAGTCCAGCTGTAGGCTTGAGTTTTTATGTGATCTAGCATTAGTGCGGTCATCTTGCTTCATCTGATCCTCTGTCTCTCTCACCTGGTGGGCGGCCATCTGGCTCTCAGGACTCTTGCTTGGCTCCAAGCCTTCATTTAGTGCGGTCTCAATGGACTCCATCTTTGTGGAGACAGATTGCAGGGTCTCCTGATAGTGCTGCTGCCTCTCCAGAGCTTCATATAGGCTCTTCTGCTTCTCACTGATCTGTAAAGAAATATACTGTATGTTAACCAACATAAGAAGTGATTTGGATTTTGTAATGTGAGAAGCATCTATGGATATTTACCACATTCTTCAAAGTCTCCCATGAGCGCTGTAGGTCGTCCAGATTAGATGAGGCAGCTGACTCCATGGAGGGGTCATAAAGCTCCTGTAGTGGAGCTCTGCTTAAAGGAGCTCGCCCTGAACCCTACAAAAGACGTTACATCATGAGAGTGTGTGCATGCACGCATAAATAATAAACAAAATTGTGCTGGTCCTCTTAAAATACAACAAAACAGTAGTGATACTTATGTGGGTTTCAGATGTTGCACTCGTGCCCAGTAACATGATTATACCAAATGGTTAACCATGTGTTTGCCAGATGCTTGAACACAAAGAATCTATGCTAACCAAAACATCTTTGTCACTCCCTCAGGCCATGTTCAAATCTGTCAACTACAGCTCATTACATGTGTATATGAACATTATAAAAGAAAAAAAAGTCACTTCAGAATTAAATCAGAGATAGTTTTCTATCACTCCTCAAGAAAGTCAGCAGAAGAATAGAGCTTCCCACACCTTTTGACAAATGAATTCATGAATTTATGAATGACAGTTATTCATGATTATTTAAAAATTACTTTTAAAAATTGTTTCATATACATTTACAGGTGATTTACATTTCTATGACAGGAACTAAAATTTTTTTTCAAATACACTCATTAGTGTACAAATGTCTCCAAAAGGTCCAAAATCATTAATTACACCGCTATTCAAGAGTTTGAGGTCAGTAAGATTTTTTCCCATTTCAAATAAATGCTTTTCTTTTTAACTTTATATTCACCAGAGAATCCTGAAAAAAATGTATCACTATTTGCACAAAAAATATTAAGCAGCACAACTGTTTTCAACATTGACAATAAGAAATGTTTCTTAAAAACCAAATCAGCATATTCAAATGATTTCTGAAGGATCATGTGACACTGAAGACTGGAGTAATGGCTGCAGAAAATTCAGTTTTTAAAAAATTGTAAGTGTAAACTGTTATTTTAAATTGTAAAAATACTTCACAATATTACTGTTTTTGCGGCAACCCCTATCTGTTGAACAGTGATGTATATATAGTATTATATAGAATAATATACACAATATATATTTTTTTGAAATTTCCTTTAGAATTGATCAAATTTGAAGTGTGCAATTTCTGTGCCACCAGTGGAACAAAGTGAAAAAGGCAAAAAAGAGTAACTACTTAAATAATGCTCCTATCTACCATTGGTTGGACAAACTAATACTGTCGTCCTGCCCTGATCATTTCTTAATTCAGTGCTGCTGTATTGGGCTGGTTGAAAAGCTCAAACAGAGAAATGTTTTGAAAACATTAAAGAGTCACAGTGTTTACACTTTTCAAGGAAATCAATCTACAGATGTCTTACTTAGAATTGTATCTGCATATTAAGATGAGGTAGGAGGTATTTTAAGATTTTATTCTACATTTCCAGAAAAGGAAGGGGGGGGGGGGGG